TCTCTGCAGAAAATTTTCCATACGAATTCCAGAGAAGAACGAATGGGAGGGTGTCACAGACCTACACTCGGGATCACAGAAGATTCCGATCTATACGATAGTGTTGGTAGCGAGATGTAGTACATTGAAGTCGTACAAAATCATGTTGCTTGCTAAACGGACCACTGTAGGGGTCTTTAGGCTGAACTAAATGCCATAATGTAGGCTGCTGTGCGATTCATAGCTTTCGCTCCTCTAGAATGGCTTATCAATATGCCGAAGGACTCTCAAGCCACTGGTATCTAAAAGCGTTTTTTGACTGTTATGTAGGTGCGTGGGTACTGGCATATCCCGAAGGGTTTGGCAAGAAAAGGGACACACATAAATATCGAAGGCACTTCTGCTCAGGGAGTGTACATGCCTATAACCTCCAAGGAACAGAATTTGAAGACAGGACTTATTAAGGAGTTAAACAACAGAGGGCCCGTAGAAATCTGGCAAAAGGTTTATGAAAGACCGGACGGAACCAACGATTTTTATGGCGAGTATCGTACTCTGTCACTGTGCCGGCCTGGCCAAGCGGCGCAACTAATTTTTCAACAACAGCAAACGAGCACAAAGCGCACTCGGTGGTTCAATTTCTAAGGGATGGAAGGTAGAATTCAATAAGGCTTTCTCTTTCAGGCGCTTACTTTGGGAATAAGTATACAATTTCGAAGCGAACATATGACTTATCTATATCAGCAATTTAAATAATGCAACAAGCACCTAAGTATTGCAGACTGCCAAAAACACAGATGAATAAATTATGTTGTTTTTTTTTCAGAAATTTAAAACTACATAACTTAAACCAAAAAAGTAGCTCAACTAAAAATAGTAGGGGCTATGAACGCTATAAATAACAAACAGTATGCAATGAATATTTGTTATTATTAAGATGAATGTGACATTTCGTGACGCAATAAAGTTCATTACGTAATATGTGTGCTTGCTTTTACATATACAAATGTATGTACAAAGCTACCCAGTGGGAAAAGTTATAATGCATTACATGCGTGTTAAATAGTGCACTGTACTTCTTATGACTTCTCGATTCTATTACTATTAACTATGTAATCAGCATTCTAGGTAATGCAAAATTGAATGTCCCAATTTTCCTAGAACATCGCCGGGGGGGAAAGAAATGCATTTTCGAATGTGAAAAGGGTTGTTTTACTCATTATTTTTTCGATTACTATGCATTACATTTTCGCACTGGTTACATACAGATATATTAACTTCGCCCAAGCACATTCCCTGCATTGTTATACATATATATGTATTACATCATTTTATTTTAGAGCGCCGTGTGGCGAAAGTGGATGTCTGACAACACTTGCCAAAAGGTGGACACACGAAACAATAAATTGCAATTCCAAGTCACTTATACTGCAACAGATATGCGTGAATAGTATATGAAATGAATATACCAAAGGTTAGCGAAGAGAAACAAAAAAAATAAAATGATAGTAAATAGGTGTGTTGTGCATAACAACAAAAACATTTCTGTAACAAAATTTTCCAGAGCAACGACAACAAATACAAAGCAGCAAAAGTGCTTGAATAAAAGTCGTATTACAGATGCAATATATGTATTTGTACAATGAGTACTGTAAATACGATGTTTTTGTTACTGTTGTCATTGTCACTATCGCTAGCAGTGTTGGGATGACACCCTTTTTTTTGTTACAGATACAGCGACTGTCACCATGTCAGTGTTGTCCACATATCATATTGCTGTTCGTATTAGTCAGTTAACGCTAGGGAATGAATGCAAACACAAATGTACGTACTAAGAATTTTAAGGCCATTACATTTTAGTGAAACAGGCATCATAGATGTTAAACTTTTTATGACGCAAAATAAACTATGTGCACAAACTAATGGCCTTATTCATAAAAAATAAAGTAACTTTATAAAAGGTTTATAAATTGAAAAATGTATGAAAACGTCAATTTATAAAGCTCTTTAAACCTACTTTATTTTTTATGAATAAGGCCATAAATATTTATTTTAGTCAACTTCTCAGATATTATTTTCAAAAACTTACGAGTTGTTTTAGTATAAAAATCTTTGAAGGAAGGCAGCAGCTGAAAGAAGGCAACGGTGAACTTTTCCACGGATGTATCAAAGCTTAGCGGAATGGTCAGAACCTTAAATTTGTGCTTTAATATCTCTGTTGTATTTTCCAGGCGGAGCACAGCTACCTCGTGAAGAAGTAGTCGATTCACCCGACGTTGAAAAGGAAGGTTAATAGTCTGGTAGGATAGCGAAAATAAGAGCCAGGTGCCTAACCTAACCTTCATTTCGTTTGTGTTCGACTATTTCCGAGTTAGACTTCTATATCTATATATGGTAGCCAGGCCACCGAGATATTGCAGGAAACATTGCGACGGATGTGTTGGTCGGGTAAGTGTGAAAGAAAGAAAGGAAAGCGTAGTATTAACTTATTCTTCAAAGTATATGCGCAATACTCTTGAACAGATGCTCCTTGTACATATACCAGGTCGGTATTTAGGCTGAAGCCGCTCAAGGGATATCCTAAGTTCTGGTTCGAGTATTGATCCGACACTGCCCGATTGGACATCATGCGATGGGATTAAATATGACACCGCATCTTTACTGTCACTAGTGTTGGACGACGACGTGCTGGAATTATCTCAACAGATCATTTTAAACTACCCAGGTTTCGCAAAACTGTGATCTAAAAAGGAGGCGCCGCTTAACCAGCCCGGAAGAATTCGACGAGACCGACTTCTGCTGAGTGAGCCATCGAAAACTAAAAACTTAGACTGAGGCGAAGAGCAATATGAAAACGATGACCAAGACGAAGACTAATACTTAGACTAAAACTAGTCTAAGACGAGGGCAAATACGAATATGATGAGTCGAATAACATAACGAAAACGAGTACAAAGCCGACCGCATAAATTATGACGAAAACTAAGACGAATAAAAAAACGACGATGAACACGACTATTAAGACGAAAGCCAGATGAATTGGATGCAAATTAAGACTGCCTGCTCCATATTGTATACGCTATTTTGAATTATTTAAAACTGGTTTAAGTTATATAATAAGCGGCTCAATGAACCTTTAGATATCAGATTTCATAAAAATCTAGAAAGTTTAAAAAATCAAGTTTAAAAAATCACAAGGCAATGTTTTATTGACCGATTCGCAGAAACCATAGTTAAAACCAAGTCTCGACTTAAACTATAGAGCTAAATTAGGTTGGTAACCAAATGCCATACATGCATATTTCCATACTTGCTGTAGCACACTCATCAATATTTCGACGAGAAAAGGATGTGCTTTCCGCATATTCGATTTAAATAGAGTACAGATCGATTTTTCTTAAACAACCGCGATTTATCAACAAATAATAAATTAAGGTACATGTGATAAAAGCAGAGACTATGTCAAAAACCAACAACAAAAAAACAAAAATTGCTTACATTTAAAATATTTATATTGCGCACTTGAAGAGGTTCCTGCAAGCGTATACAGTACGTACATAGAAGTAATGAAAGCACCCGGTGTTCACCGCCAAGCCACATGTGGCAGAAGGCAATCAGCATGCGTCTACATGCAACGCATTTTTTACAATCTTTCCTTTGAATTCCATATTCTATATTATTTTTTTCACATAAACACAACCAACAACGGTTGCAACAGCGTGTCACCAGCCGACATTGTTTGCTTGGAAAGCAGAAAGCTACACGGCGTGACTCCTCGTTGCAATCTATGGCGCAACAACTTACGACGTGACGCCTTCTACTGGAAATAATGCATTCACTTGTGTATGCATTAGAAAAAATAATACATCGTTATTCACCCTTAAGTAGATAATAAATACAATAGCGGTACATGCTACTGTCGTCGATTTACTCATACAAATGGCACAGAGGAGCTTTCGAGAGGATTTTCGAGCCAAGGCGTGGAAATGAAATATATTTTCACCACATGAGTACATATCAGGTTTATTTTGGCTAATATGGACTATGTAGTCTTTCAGTGGTTGTTGTACCGTTTTTGGTGATTTACCAGTAGATGCAGAAAAAGAGGATGAGGGTAAAGGAATTCGAAAAAAGTGTTACTAGCCCCCGCTTCACTAGAAGGGAGTTTCATTTGATACCAAACTTTTTTAATTTGGATAAGCGGTTTGTTTATTATCAGGAAATGACTTTTATATAAATATTTGGCCAAGGTGACTTTAAAAAAAAATAACTGTGAGTTAGGCAATTTAAATATATTTCTACTTAATGGTTTTTTAAAAATACCTCAAACTCTTTTCCTGCTAACTTTCATTTTTTATTTTTTACTTTTACAATTGACGTTTCTGCTGTTCTTCGCAAAAATAGTCGCTAAAACTGGGTTGGACACTGATAATTAGCGGTTTAATCTGAGATTATTTGAGAAGTACATATTAACGAGGGAGGAATTTCGCATGACTAATCTGTTTTTTAATTACCGATTATCTAGTGAAGCTCGAAAATGAGAATAATCTCTACATATCGTCGTTTAAAGTACAAAACCGCGTATCGTGGTTCTGCAAAACCTCGTAACTGACATTTGTGCCAGAAATGAGATTTACCCACCGGATGCTCCAAGAAAACTCGAAAAAATCTGATTAAAAAGTTGAAAATTTGCATTAACATTTATTGAATTTTCGCGAGTTTTGCGCAAAGTATTGAACTTATATTTTTATGTTTTCTGTTGTAGAATGAACCATAGTTTTATAAAAAGAATTATCGGAAAAACATTAGAATAGAAATTTGTGCATATATTGTGCAAAATTTGATGTGCCAATACTTTTTTCCAGCAGTGTACATATCTTTTTCTCTGCACGATTCATTTCGTTTGTTGGTTCGTCTATAACTACTAAACCACTGTAGTGTACTATCGCCAAAGTAAACAATATCCAATTTTTTCTATATTGCTCCGAACTGTTGAAGTAATAAACGAAACGAAATAGTAACGTACAATATACATAGTTTATTTACGTGCACTGGTGGCAACAATACTACTAACTCACAAAATTTCGAAAATACTTTATATGGAAAAAATGCAAAACATTTTCAACAAAAAAAAATCTCACAAATCAATGCGATTTTTGACTAACTCCGAACTTGCATTTTTTATATCGGAATTTAGTGGGCTACAAAAGTGCATACCACATTTATATAATTAAGTCATTTGCTCACTTCTCACAAACATTGTAACCCGGTCCGTGTCTGCCACATCTATCTGGGCGCTGCGATAGAAAGAAAACAGAGAGATTATAACGAACACTCAATTCAAGCATACTTATTTATGTGGGGTTTTTACACTCACACTGAAAATGGATTTCCCAGCATTGCCTTCAGTGGGTCAATAATATCACCTTCATAGCCGTCTAGCGATAGCAGTCTATAGTCATCACTTGCGTCAGCTACAGCAAATGAGCGGTAATGCATGAAGTGTTTAACAGACTCCCCCACCATCCGCTCACCATACTGTTGATCGTGTGTTAATATCAGCAATTCATGCGCTCCCTTACTTGCTGTTATAGCATGCAAATATTTCAAGCCGATAAAGTAGTCACTCGTGCTGTCGCCGCGCTCCCAGTTCTCATATCCATTAAGCAGTTCATATTGATCTTTTTCGTTCAAACACTTTCGATGCCTTGCATCCAAACTAGCAATCAATTTCCAACCATGTCCATAGTACTTACGCTCACAATCAACTAAGTATAACGGCATATCAGCGTTGATTTCGATTTTTTGTTTACCGTTGCAATCAAAGCGTACATTTCTGATATCATCTGAATTATGTGTTAGTTCACGCTTCCTACGTCCTATTGTACTCGTACCTTTTAATTGTGCTACGCGTTTTTCAATCTCACTCAGCACTTCTGTTGCATTCAACTGATCTCTTAGCAATTTATCGCTAAGAAATGGGTACATCGTGATTGCGTTTATGTTAAAAAAGTGTGTACACTTACAGTTTATCACTAAACTCTACCGCCTTTGCCCTGCAGCCCACACCCCAAACATCGTCGAGTGGTCTTGCCATCGCCGAATTCCTCATCAACGTAGTGCCGCCATTATTGCCGCATGTCGATAGTAAGCAAGACATTGCCGTCACCATATGTTCCAAAGACATAATTTCTATGATCCGTGGTTAGATCTGTGCTCATGAAATGCTTATGGAAAACTGTTCGGCTTAAATATTTCGACATAGCTTTATGCGAATATTTTGTATACATACATACATAAATGTAATTTAGTGAACTTGCGAGCACGTTTGTATATATACATATATGTTTGTATGTATATATGTTTGTAGGTCGGTACATCAAAATTGTTCGAAAATGATTTGTTTAATTGCACTCAAAGAGAAAAGTCGACGAGCTACATTTAATAATTGTAAGCAAGCTGAATTCACTTATTTCCCACGTTTTTGAACAACAACATAAGTAAATTCGACTCGCGTTGTTCTCTGTCACAACTATTCAAATAATTTAACCCAAACTTTTATACTTCCAATAAAAGTATTGTATAAAAGTTTTTTATGGTTTCTATAAGTTTTATGAGTCAATTTCCAAACAATGCACAACAAATAGGCTTGTAGATGCAGGTATCTTTTCTAGCCACGCGGGCATACGCTGGTACGGCCTGGGGAGGGCGCAAACAACAATATTTATTAGTTTACTGAAAATTATTTATTTATGGAATCGAAGCTTTTGAAATTTTCAAAATGTATCGAGTTATCGAAATTTCAAGGTTATATAAGATTATGTTAAGTTAACACTGCTTATCGAATTTCATCGTGTTACCAGAGAAATTGGTCGATAGCTTTTGCAAAATATGTAGCTAACGTAATCAACCGAGTAACCAAAATTTGTAGACGTATCCAAAGTGTATCGAGTTATCGATTTATATAGCGAGATATATACATTTTTGAGTTGTCCAAATCTATCAAGCCTTAGAAACAAACAGTTATGGAAATTTATTGAAATTGGTCGATTAGATCGAACTTTGTTGAGATAGGGATTTTAGTGTTTTTGAAATTCATTGAGTTATCGATAGGTATCAAATTATCGAAATTTATTGACAAATTGGAATGTAGCGGCTATATTCCAAGTCCTGGCAAAGTCCTGGCAAAGACCTTCAAAGATATAAAAAAATTAATTAACAAAGCAGGAAGCTATGTTAGAAAACCTCTACAAGGGTCTCACTGGAACAACGGTCGAATTTCGACAGTAACTGGCACCCCTAGTATAATATACACACTTTGTCAAGAGTTATGAAAAAATCAGTTTTATTTTTGTGTAAATGTGTTTAAATACATACATACGTTGTGTAAATATTACATTACATACATATGTACGTATGTTTAACAATTTGTTTACTTCTTAGATGCACTCAAATAGCTGGATCCTTTCTTTTCAAATACATTTTCCAACTCCTTATATTAACACCTTCTAACGACTTGTTCACTAATAAATCTTCTAAATTGAACATCAGCATACTACTACGTGTTTTTGAAAACTTAATTTTTTTATCATCAACTATGATCTCTGGAATATATAGAAAATTTTCCATGCCACTTGCGTCTATATAAACGAGAAGTAAGCCAAATAAACTTTTATTATAAAGTTTCGTGAATTCATTCCAACCAATGAAGAAGTCTACATCACTTGTTATACAACGTGCATCACAGGGATTTCCGACTAATAAATATTGATATGAACTGTGGGTTAAAGCTTTCGCACCACGTCCAATAAGCAATAAATTTGTCGAATATCTGTTGTCCTCACAAAACAGATCACCAATTGTTTGATCCTTGCAGGGGTAAGGTTGACCCAGGTTGAATGTTTGGGGCTCCGCTGTTCTATAGTAAAAAAAAATATTTATGTATGTAAATTTATGACCACTGAGCTCAGTACTATGTCGAATATTTGGAATTTGACAATGTATGTGTGTATATGTGGGTATAGCATACCTAATGTTATTTTCAATACGCGATAGGCTGTCATTGACAACATAAAGTGTTTCTTTGAACTCTTTTCCAAGCGTCACTGCCTTTTGCACCCTAGATAAGGAGATAAATGAAACAAATATGAGATTAGTAGCATTCTTTGAAAACAATCTGGAAAATCCTTTGATATATCAATATTGCTCACTTATCAAAGTCGGCTTCTAATTCGTGGCAAGTCTGCGTATGGAAATGAAAATATGAATTTTACTTTTATAAAGAATTCCATTGAGTTTCAATTACATATGTATGTATGTATGTAAAAATTTCGCTTGCATACCTTTTGATTACCGATATCATAAAAGTCCTTCGCTGATAAAAAATACGTTAGCATTGTAAATGCTCGCTCCAATGAGTTGACTTGTTGCATTTTGCTTACATAAACATAAATGCAAGATACATAAAATGCAAGCGATGTGGACCACTTGCCGTTTCTTGTTTGACTTGTGTATGCATGTGGAATAGTAACTGTAAACATACATACATACATATGTACTTCCAAGCAAAATAATTTGTTTTATAGCTATCAGCGCCGTGCGAAATTAAATAAAAAAATAGAATGTGAATTAATCTTACTAATCTATTCGAGGAAACTCGATTATGATTGACATAAATGCTTCAAAATTACAACATATATATGTATGTATTAGGGATGTTTCGAATGTCATATTTTTAATTTTCGCGAATGCGAATGTGAATTTTCGGAATGCGAATGTGAATTTTAGGAATAACATTAAAAAATCTATAATCAACTAGAGACATCGTTTTTATTACTTAAAGTGTGTGCGAGTGCTTAACCTATACATCGTTTTAATCTTGTAGCCAAAGTTCAAAAGGGGCATATCATATTTCAAAAAAGTAACTTTGATGCCTTTTTTCCCATGAGGCGATTTCTTAGAGGCTCGTATATAACGCCGGCTGCGCTAAACAATTGCTCANAAAATAATTTAATCTATAAACATTTTTTTAACACATTAAATATCTATATCTATATCAATACTATCATCGCTAAGCGATTCTTCGTCGTTACAATTTTGTTCATTTCTCATTAACCTGACGATATCATCTGTAATTTCAAAATCATGACAACATTTCTGTACATTTTTTAAGCCATATCTTACAGTTAATAAAGCGTTTAACATTGCAAAATTCATTTTATTTCTGTGCTTATTTTTAACGAAATTTATAATAGAAAACGTCCTTTCAACTTCTGCGTTACTTAAAGGTAAAAGAAGCAACCGATAAACAAACTTTTTCCACCACTTAAGCTAGCGACACAATGAACAGTTTGTTTGCCTTAAAGGAAACCCGTTCGCTTTATGAGCGAAGAGTTAAATTCATGAAAATCATATACAAAATTTTAATGTCAATGATGAATAAATTTTGAAAAGGGCTAAAAAAAGGGCTAGGGGCAATTTCAAATTTTTTTGTGGCCAAAAAAAGAATTTGGTAGCCAAATTTAGCCACCAAAGGGCTAAAACGGCAACAGTGCTTGGGACGCTGGCGGGTGAGGCCAGTGATCGGACTTCTACCACTTTGATCCACAAGATCTGAAATCTACCCCATATTCGCGTTTTTGAGTAGTTTTATTTTTGCTGGACATAATTTTCTTAATTTTAAGAGCAAAAATTGTCCAACACTAAACACTATGGGCTAGTTTCTCCAACTCAACTTAACTTAGTTTAACCACTTTTGGGACTTAAGTCAAAAGTTAGCCTACGTTTTACACAGCTTATTCATGACTAAGTCAAGAAAATTGGCTTAACTGAGTTAAGTTGAGTTGGAGAAACCAGCCCTATATGGTAACAAGAATGATATAATGCAAGATTTCGCATTCCCGGCGACGATGAAATTTCTCAAGTAAAAATAAACAAAGCCGAATGGGAGGATAAAATAAAATGTAAAATACGGTTACGCNCTAAGTCAAGAAAATTGGCTTAACTGAGTTAAGTTGAGTTGGAGAAACCAGCCCTATATGGTAACAAGAATGATATAATGCAAGATTTCGCATTCCCGGCGACGATGAAATTTCTCAAGTAAAAATAAACAAAGCCGAATGGGAGGATAAAATAAAATGTAAAATACGGTTACGCGGTTTTATTGTGTTAAATTGCAAAATATATGATTTGTAAAAAGAATTAATAGCAAAAATGTAAAAAAACAGCGATTTTTGTGAAAGTTTTGCAAATTTAAGTGCATGTAAGGTTTCTGAGGCGTTGTTTGCTTTTACTCGAGAATTGTCAAAATCGGCAAATCCCAATTAGCTGTTTCTGGAACGTGCCACATTTGTTCGCTACTTCATGATGTGATAAAAAGAAAAGCTGGCAGCACTCCGCAAGGTTGCTGAAATCTGTTAAAATATGTTCGAAAAGTATCTTAATATGGAAGGAACTACTTTACACTGTCAAAGAAAAAAATTTCCAAAAACTCAACGCAATTTTTAGCAACTTCAATCTTGCAATTTCTTATACTTAAATTAAATTTTTTTCGATTCTAATTAAAAAGTTTGCCATTTGGATGAAACCTTGAAGAATTTTTTTAATTTGTGTACAAAGTTTGATCCAAAACCTGAGATCTACCACATCTTTTTGAAAGAGTGAACTCTAATATTGTTGTTGTAAATAAATGGTACATAATAAAAACTAGTTTAAATTAATTAAGATTCGTCAAAAATTAAAAAAATTGCAAAAGTAAAAGTTTAACTTTATAAAACAATTGCACAAAAATTTAAAATTTTTCACAGAATTTTTAGCCCATTAAATTTTAGCGCAAGCCGCAAGTGGCCAATATTTGCATTTTTTGGCATTTCGAACACACGTTAAGTAGATGGAAGGAAATGCTAAAGTTTCAAACTTTGTGCAATAATAAAAAATTAAAAAAATCCACAGTATTTTAGTAAAATTTCAGCGCCACCAAGCGAAGCAATTTCTCATACAAACCGTATTCTTATGACTGCAAATAAAACCAAAAAAAGAAGAATAAGCCAAATCGGCCAGGCCATATATATGTATGTATGTACATTAGAATGCCTCAGCAAAAAAGTTGCATTTTTTCCTCCGGGATTATAAAATTTGTTACATTTTAAGACTTCCGCAAAACATTTCGAGAGAATATTATTGGGTTTACGTGAGCTGGACTAATTTCATTATTTTGATTTTATT